GCATTTGACAAAAGAAAAACAGTAGCACTAAACGTTGAGATTAATTTTTTGGAACAGAAAGTTAACTTTCTTCGAATTTTGTTTTTTGTTTTTTTTTTTTTTTTTTTTTTTTTTTTTTTTTCCCTTTAGAACGGGAAAGGCGGAAGGCAACGGAGATTCGCTGCTCGGGCGGCGGGGCTGGCTGGCCGGGACGGTCAGACCGTGGCTGCGCTCGCTCCGCGCCTGGCACCTCGCTGCTCCGCGCCGTTTTGTTCCCGCTGGGAAACGTTCTGTAGCGTCTCTTGCAACGGCCCCAATTACTCCGAGGTACAATATATTTTCGCCTGGATTAGACGGCGAGTCTGTTGGCACAGTGTAAATGTCAAGCAGCAGCTTTTAATAAAGGGATGTTCAGACTGTTAAATTTCACAGTACAACGGGCTCGGCCCCTCCCGGCCCCCTCCAGCCCCCCCTCCCTCCGAGCTGCGGTGCTGCCAGTGAGCCAACACGACTGCGCACCAAAATCTGAGTGGGAAGTAACCCATTCCGAGGCTGAAATGCTGCGCTCTGCCATCCCCGAGCTGCTTGGCGGAGGGACCCCCCAGATCCCCGCACCGTGCTCCTCGGGATCGCCGTCAGTGGGGCGGGGGCTTCCCGTTGGGGGCCAAGGTGGCAGTTTCTGGACCCCATTGGCCGGAGCTTGAGGCCGATCCGCTGTGCCTGGGCTGGGACCGCCCCCCCGGAAGGGACCGGTTGTCGAACCGGCACATGATAGCCCGTCCCTGCCGCTCGCTGCCCCCAGCTTCAATCGGGCCATTGATTAGCGCTCTAAGTGCCGCTCTAATTAGCTGCCTACTAATTAACGAGCGGCGCCCCGTCCGAGTTCTCTGAGTGGCACCTTCGCTCATCGTTTTGATTCGGCTGTTGCTGATTTATTGGGACGGGGAACTCCGTGGCTTTGCCCGCAGTCAGACGGGTGGGATAGATGGGAAAGGGGGGGTCATCCAGCCAGAGGCTGAGGGGACACGGGGCAGCAGCTGTCAGCATCCACCCTGGCCTCAACAAGTACAAGGAGCGTCCCGCTGGTCTCCTCGCCCCCCGAGGGTGCAGGCAAGAAGTGGAGGGCGTTTTGCGTGAGATGCCCCCGCGTAGGGCTGATCACGCTCTGGGAATCCGAACTGGCCGGCGGTGCCCGCGGAGGAGCAGGACAGGCCGAGGCTGCCCGCGCTCCGGGCTCTGCCCCGGGCGGGGAAGGGCCTTGTGCTGCTTTCCCCCAGAATATTTCTACACAATGGAATCGAGGATTAAAAAATAAGACGAAGGAAATGAAAGGTGTTCACTCTTCAAGAACATGACTTTAAGCCCTAAATCCCGATTCCGGGACGGGGAGGTGTATTGTGAGTTAAAGGATTATGCTAGTGTAACATATTACCCCGAATCCTGCATTCCCCCGGGATAATTAGGACATAGTTTGGGCAAATTGCAAACCAAGACAGCAGGATAAATACAGCCGCCGCGGGCTGCTTCCCTGCTGCAGAAAACCTGCCTGGGCATTTGTAGATATTTAAGTGTTTTTCCCTTTCTCCTGTTCTTTCATTTTACTCCTCAGTTTTCCTCCTTCTTCTGTTCCCTTTTCTTCTCCTCGTTCCTCCAAAGGCCCCGATCTGTAGGGACGTGCTGGCAGGTCACCCCGCCGTGCTGCCAACCCAGCTCGCACCGAGGTTGCGGCTCCCGCGCTGCCTCCGGCCTCGTCCGCGCTGGGCGCCCGTCGGGGACAACGGGGGCGGCCGCCACCGCCGCCCAGCGGACACGGGCGGCCCTGCACCTCATTCGGGCCCGCCGCCTCTGCTCCCTCACCGGCCTCCGGGCGCAGCACCGGTGCCTAAAGCCCGGCTGCAAACCGTACGGCTGGCTTCCCCCGGCTGCCCGCGGGGCGGCTGACGGCCGTGTGGAGCCGTCGGGACGGAGCGGGCGATGCTCGGTAGCAACGGGCTGCCCGCGGGTAGGCTTCCCTGCCGTCGAAAAACTTCTTCCGAAGTGCGGCAGTGGGGCCGGGACCTGTCCCGCCGCACTAGCTTTCGGGTGTGGCACCGGTGACTGGTGAATCCCAGGGAAGCACCGCGATTTATACCAGCGAGGACCCAGAAGCTCCTCGCCCCCCTCCATACGAGGGAAGGCCGGCCCCAAGCCGTCGGAAGAGGAGTCGAAGGCCGCGGCACTCTCCACGTTGGCATCTCTCATGTCGGGGCGCAGCTTCTCATCCCACACCGCTGTCCCGGGGCTGCGGCATCTCACGTCGGATCCAAACACTCGCAACGAGTTACCAGCTGGACACTGTCTCTCGCTCCCGTTGAGCTCCCCAAGCGCTCCCCGCACTTCTCCGCAGCTCTGAGTGGGACGGCTCCCCCAGGAAACAAAACGCGGTGGGAAACGGGGTGGAGGCGCACCCGCGCTGCCACAACATCCGCATAGCACTGTGCAGGGCCGGACGGGGCACTCCCGGTACGGAGCAGGCAGAACGATGAGGGGGTTAGAAAGGACCCTCGCGTCCTCACTCCCCACTCCTCACTCCAGGCTGGCGGGGGACTCCCATCACCGGGGCAGCCTCTGTATGCGGGGCGGAGATGCCAGTGACCCTACACCTAAGGTAGCCCCTAGTGCCCTCGCTGAACACCAGCACCCGAAAAATGCCTCTTGGGCTCATCCTGCCCTAATCTTTCCCTGCGCCTCCACTGCTATGCCCAGTTCCCTTGTGCCCCCGAGGTTTGGTGCCGCGGATGTTTTGGGGGGCTGGTTGGGTCTCGAGTGTACTGGAGGCCGGGAAGAGAGGTGTAGGGCTGTGCTTCATAGGACCCTGGAAATGGCAATTCCTACTAAAATAAAACTCGGAGAACTCTAAATCATTCATTATCACCTTTATAATTACTCTTCTAATTAGCTTGACACGCTGCTTCATCAGAATTAATACGACGTCTTGTCGCTGGCACTTCCTATTATTCTGACATTCAACCAGGGAACCGTCCCGGGAACACCAGACGATACTCTCCGGGAGGATCCACTCCGGTGACCGGGGGAATAGAGACCCGACGGGGCGGCGGCGGCGCGGACAGGTCCGGGAGGGAACGGGGGCGCGCACCCGCCTCCCGCGGCAGTGCCCGCCGCCGCCGCTGATTGGCTGCGGCCCACGCTGCGTCAGCCCCCTCGCGGCCCTCCGCCAATGGGGGCGGGCGGCGGCGGCGGCAAAAGCCCGGGTTTATAATAAACGGCGGGGGGGGCCGCGGCGGCTGTGACGTCACGGGGGGAGTCGCCGCCGCCGAGAGGAGCTCGGTGGGCACGGGCGGGCGCGCCGCAGTGGCCGGTGTCCGCCCCGCTCCGCGCCCGCAACTTCCCGCAACAAAGTTGGGTAGCGGCGAGCCGGCCCGGCGGCGATGTGGGGCTCGGCGGGGGCCCCGCGTTAGTGTCGCCCGCGCCGGCGGTGAGCTGATTGGGGTAACCCAGTTCTGCCCCCCCACATCCCTTCTCCTCCACTCCCGGTGAGACCCCCGCGGCCGCCCACGGGGATGCGGACGCGGCGCTGAACGGTCCGCCATGGAGGGGCCGAGCGGGTCCAGCTTCGGGATAGACACGATCCTGTCGAGTGGCAGCACCGGCAGCCCCGGAGTCATGAACGGAGATTTTCGCCCCCACGGCGACGGCCGGCCGGCGGATTTTAGGAGCCAGGCCACGCCGTCGCCCTGCTCAGAAATCGACACGGTGGGGACGGCGCCCTCGTCGCCCATCTCGGTGAGCATGGAGCACCCCGAGCCGCATCTAGGGGTGGCGGAAAACCTCCCGCCGCCGCCGCACCACCTCCACCTCGGCCCGCACCCGCCGCCACCGCCGCCGAGTTTGCAGCCGTCGCCCCCGCAGCCGCCGCCACCCCAGCTGGGCTCGGCCAGCTCCGGCCCCAGGACTTCCACATCTTCTTTTTTAATTAAGGACATTTTGGGCGACAGCAAACCGCTGGCGGCGTGTGCACCTTACAGTACCAGCGTCCCCTCTCCCCATCACACTCCTAAGCAGGAGGGCAGCGCGGCCCCGGAGAGCTTCAGGCCCAAACTCGAGCAGGAGGACGGCAAAGCCAAGCTCGACAAGCGCGACGACACGCAGGGGGACATCAAATGCCACGGTAAGTACGGCCCAGCCCTGCTCCGCACCGCCTCGGCCGCCGGTAAAACCGGGGCCGCTGCGTTCGGCCTCATCGGTGAAACGAAAATCGTGGGGAAAATCTGCAGTAGGAGCGGTCGCTCTGCCGGGACCACTCGGTGATCCTCGCTACCGCGGGGATAAGGTCGGTAGGAAATGAAATCGCCTTTTTTTTTTTTT